GTGGCACCAATTTTATTTTGAATAGCAAAATCCAAAGCGCATTTTTCAATGGTTGATTCTAATTATTTCGATTTTTCCACTCAGCAGCTGTGAACTGTTAGCTAGTAGGATACAATGAAGCGATACGGACAACACCTTTTTCCTGATAACGTTTTGAAGGCGAGTGATGATTACTATTGCACCATGGAGATTTTTTTACCGAAACTACTTTCATTAGCGCAAAAAATGACTACTATGTAGACTTGAGCAAAAGATGTAGTACGGACCTTTCCCTACCCATCTACTACAAATTTTTGAGAATTGCAAGATAGTATCAGAAATATAAATATAGTGAAAAGAAAATTGTCGTGTTTTTCACTGAATGATAAAGAATGAGATAATAAGTACTGCTTTATTTCAGTGTCTGAAGACCTTTACTACATTGGAATACACATAAGACGAGGCATGGATATCGACATGAACGAAAAAAATCGTCGACATGGACATATAGCTGCTCCTGCAGATTACTACAAACGAGCTATGGATGTTGCCAAGAGTGGGAAGGAAAATGCAAGTTTCAACATCTCATTGAACTCCTAGAAATAGGCGCTGTAAAATAAATATGAAATCATTATCTGCGACAAGAAAAGCAAAGAAGAAGCCTGCGAACAGTTTTAACAATGTCGCAGAAAACGCAGCAGCGGCCGCGGCGCATTCGTGTGTTCAACGCGCAGAAAGATCACGTGGGATGAAGATGCGCAGACACATAAACATGCACCACCGCTCTGGGTGTGAGCTCTGCATCCTCTGCGTCATTGATTCGGCTGCGGTTTGGTTTTTGTAGACGTAGCATAGCAAAGTACAGATGCGCTCAGAGTTTCAAATACAAAAAAAAACTTTTAGAAGCAAAACACCTCTTTGAGAAGTTTTTATAGGTAGTGTTCGTGATCTGTTCTGACAACATCTCATGGGCTAGGAATAATCTTCCCACTATGGAAAAAGGTATGAATTTTGCTTTGCCGATTCCTTTGCCTTTTCACTGCTGATTAATCGATCAAGGAACATTTTTTTACTGCCCTGGTCAGCATCGAGAAGTAGATATGGCAA